CCAGTCTCTTTTTCAGAGCCACCCCTGGGTGTAGTCCTCCTCCAGCTGAGAGCAGTGCAAGCACAGAGCATCTGGGCACCATGCTGACAGGCAGAGCAGCCCACCTGCATTTGAGCACTGACAGAGGTTTGCACTGAGAGCAACGGGGCAGTGGGGGAATTTTGCCATTTCCAAAAACATTTGCACTGAGAGCAATGGGGAAACAGAATTTTACCCTTTCCAAGATATTTCCCAAGTGGGATGAGAGAGTCTGGATGCTAAAACACAGTGTAAGGAGACAAATTTGCTGCACCTGGTCTCCCACCTTCCTCTGTGGAAGAAAGCATCTTTCTGAGTTTTGTACCCTGCGCTCTAGGGCAGCACAGGGAACTCCTCCCCAGGAACCCCCCATCCAAACACATGGGGCTGTTGCTACCTCCACGTGTCATTGCTGTAAAGCAGGGATGACCGTTAAGGAGCCCATGGGTAGAGGGCACGGCTCTGCACAGCACACTCAGCCGGCACCAACCAGAGATGAAGCCTCAGAGCTGCATAGCAGTGCCCCAAGAAAGAAAAGCACCCTTAGGTATTTCAGAATGAATGAATCAAATTTTGCTCAGAGCAGCTTCACTGAATTTTTCTGTTTTATCTCCATTGGCAGTTTCCATGGCCAGATTCAGCAGATATCGAACAGCAGCTCAATCACCCAGTTCCTCCTCCTGGCATTCACAGAGACATGGGAGCTGCAGCTCTTTCGCTTCTGGCTCTTCCTGGGCATCTACCTGGCTGCCCTCCTGGGCAATGGCCTCATCATTGCAGCTGTAGCCTATGACCACCACCTCCACACCCCCATGTACTTCTTCCTCCTCAACCTCTCCCTCCTTGACCTGGCCTCCATCTCCACCACTATCCCTAAATCCATGGCCAATTCCCTATGGGACACCAGAGCCATCTCCTACTTGGGATGTGCTGTCCAGCTCTTTCTCTTTACATTCTTGACATTAGCAGAGTATTATGGGGGTTGGACTCGATGACCTCTAGTGGTCCCTTCCAACCCAAAACATTCTATGATTCTATGATTCTATGATTATCTTCTCACTGTCATGGCCTATGACCGCTGTTTTGTGCCACCCAGCCAATACATTTTCCATTCCCCTCTGCCATGGCAATGTTGTGGACCAGTTATTCTGTGAAATCCCCCAGATCCTCAAGCTCTCCTGCTCAGATGCCTACCTCAGGGAGGTTGGGGTTATTGTGGTCAGTGTCTGTTTACTCTTTTGCTGTTTTGTTTTCATAGTGGTGTCCTACATCATGATCTTAATGTCCGTGCTGAGGATACCCTTACAGCAGGGACGGCACAAAGCCTTTTCCACATGCCTCCCTCACCTGGCTGTGGTCTCCCTGTTCCTCAGCACTGTTGTGTTTGCCCACCTGAAGCCTCCCTCCATCTCTTCCTCAGCCCTGGATCTGGTGGTGGCAGTCCTATACTCGATGGTTCCTCCAGTAGTGAACCCCCTCATCTATAGCTTGAGGAACAAGGAGATCAAGGAAGCCTTGCAGAAACTATTTGAACACAGAGTACTACAGCATCAATAAGATGTCCTGCATTCTCATTAAAAGGTCTTATGATCTTTTGATTATATGTCTCTTGTTTGTCTCTTTGTTTATTATATTACTTTATCAGTTTTACTTAAATATTATTCTTAACTCCTACCAGTGTTTTCTGACCTGAAAGACCTGATGTACATATGAGGCCATGCTCCATGTGTAAGGAAACACAATAAAGAATCCAGAAGAACATGATTTGTCTCTGCTCCCATCTCTTACATGTCCTCTGGAGCTGGGGTGCAGCCCTACCATACAGGAGGGGGCAAGGAGCCATGAGCCCAGCTGCCACATGGAGGAGCAGGTACTTGTCGACCTCGGGGCTGCCCCTCACTGCCTCAGTGGAAAGATCCTTTCTGCCGCCCTCACTTTGGGGCTGCTTCTTCCCTGGAGCCATGGCCATGGACAACAGCAGGACCTGACCTTTTTAGAGCAGCACTGCCAGCTCAGGGCCCTGTGAAGAGCATGGGGTGGCAACCGAGACAGGCTGGCCAGGCCAGTCTGGACATGCTCACCTGGGGAAAGGCATGTCCAGAGAGAAGAGCATGGGAGCATTTCTGTTCTTGCAGGGAGGAATCCACAAGAAAAAGAAGGCTCTTTCTGCAGGCACCCACTCGGGGCAGGCTGCTCTGCCCCCTGGCCAGGGCTGTTGTGCTGGCCTGGGGAGAGGGGCTGGCAGAGGCAGCCTGTGGTGGGGATGACCTGGACCCAAGAGCAGGAGTTCTTCCATTTCACTGACCTCCATTTCCTCATGTCGTGGTGAGCATCCAGCCCTGGGGCTGACGGGGAGGCTGATCCCTCTCTTCCCCCCCCACCAGCTGCTGTGCCCCTCACAGGGGCTGGGGCTGTGGGGTGAGTGCCCAGAGCTCTGCAGCACCCTGGGGTGGGCCCTGCTGTGGGGCCAGCCCAGTCTGGGATGCTCTGCAGGGGTGGGCTTGGGAGAGGGCAGGGGAGGCGGGAAGAGCTGGGAAAAGTCTGGGTTGAGCTGGAAAGTGCCCAGGAGAGGACAACACCAATGTCAGCTGAGCTGTGTGAGCATGCAGGGCAAGAATGTGCTCCAGTGGGTGTGTGGTGTAGAGCCCAGTCTCCTGGCAGGGAACATAGACGAGAAGGTGCAGGAGAGAGAAGGCTGCTCTGTGCCCCTGGTGGCATGGACAGACAGAGAAGGTGCCTCAGGACTTTTATCACATGCCCCTCAGCCTCTTTTGTTGGCCATTTCCAGCACTGGCCACTCTCCCAGTTTATGGGTGATTGTTCTCCATGGCCATGGCCTTCCTTCTGTGGTCTTGGTCCCTGTGTTGGGGAAAGAGACAGCCCTGCTCCAGCCTCTCTTCTTTCCCAGTCCTTGGCAGAGTCCAGGGCATGCCTGTCTGCTAACCCTTGAATGGGACATGGCTAGGGCTGGGCACTGGCAGGCTGCAAAAGCAGGAGGGCTGGTGGGGGTGGACACTGAGGTCTGGCATGGGCATCTGTGGTGGGGAACATTTCCTCACCCCAAACACACCCCATCCTGTGCTGTGTCTGATGAGGGGAGACGTGGGGGCATGCGTTGGGCAGTGGGGCTGCCCTGGCTCAGGGACAAGTCACAGATGGGAGCTACAACACAACAATCAGGAGGTGGAAGCAAGGAGTGGCTACCAAGGGGGAATTTAGAAATATGACCTGAGCATGCGGGTATGTGTTTAGGAAAGGCAAAGCTCAGCTGGAGCTGATGGGTGTTGCAGGCAGCATCAAGAGCAAAATTAAGAGCTTCAGTCCCTGTGTTTGCAGTGAATCATGGCCAGGAGGTGAAATGAAGGGGCTCTTCCACTCTGTTGCAGGCAGCATCAAGAACAAAATGAAGAGCTTCAGTCCCTGTGTTAGCAGTGAAGGGCTGACCAAGGAACTTGCTGCTGAACGATGAGGGAGGGTTCATAACAGCAGGCACAGATGAGGCTGAGGTGCTCAATGCCTTCCCTGCCTGAGTCTTTGCTAAACTGGCCTCTGCTCAGTGGAAGAGCTCAAGGAGAATGAGAGCAGGGATTGGCAGGAACCTCATGAAATCCCCCAAGGGCGAGTGCCAGTGTATGCCCCTGCAGGGGACTCATCCTGGCAATGGCATTTCATGAAATCCCCCAAGGGTGAGTGCCAGTGTCTGCCCCTGCAGGGGACTCATCCTGGCAATGGCATAGGCTGGGGGCTGCCTGGCTGGGAGCAGCTCTGTGGGGAAGCTCTTGGTGGGCAGGGAGCTGGACAGGAGGCAGCCATGTGCCCTGGCAGCAAGGGAGGTCAGCAGGGCCCTGGGTTGTACAACCAGAATCACAGTCAGGACATGGAGTGAGGAGACTGTTCGTCTCTACATGGAACTTGTTAGACAACATTGAGAACACTGTGTCCAGTTTTGGTAACCCCAGTACTGCAAAGGTGCCAGCAAGCTGGAGCAGATTTAGTGATGTTTGCTGAGGACAATCTTGTCCCTTTCTTCCCCTACAAGAGAGGGAC